TGGACGTTTTCCTGGCAGACTTTAGTCTTTCTTTGAATTATGCAGTAGCAGCCCTGAATTCGGAGGACTTGTGCCCAGAAGAACAGTAGGATGTTTTTGGGGTGGCACAGGGGAGGAAGGAAGCCTTTTCTAAATCAGTGACAATAGTTTTCCTTGGCTAACCGAAAAGCATCCTTCCATAAATGGGTTTGTTATTTTGCAGTACTCTGCATAAGAAAGGGGAAGATGAGATAATTTCCTGGAGAAAACCCAGAATGTTAATTAAAGAAATGGCATTTTGACATTCATTCTTGGCTGGATGGAGTTCACAGCCATCCTGATATTTCGTGTCTTGTTCTCATGTAAAGAGCTTTTTTTCTACAAACAGTTATTTCTGCCACTAGAGGTCCTGAAAATAATGATGACAGGCACAACACACACGTATTTGACACTAGAGTGTTCTCACAAAGTGACCCCGCGTGCCAACTCTCCAAACCTGCAGTGAGCCATAGAGTAGCACAGGGCAGACTGGAGGAGCAGCACCCGGCCTGTGGGGTGCAGGATCATCTCAGCTTCCAGTGAGTAGTTTTCATGCCTTCCTGCCACATCCAGAGGAGGTGAGGTGGGCTCTTCTCGCATCTCAGCAGAGCACTGACAATTTGTAGTGCCGCCTGTATGCATGACATAACACTCCGTGTAGGAGCTGCAGAGGCAGGCTCTGGGGCTACCCAAGTCTTCCTGATCAGTGAAGTGATATGGAAAACAGGGAGGGAGGCAGATGCCAAGGTATTAAACAGCTGGGCTGTTGCCATCAGCTGAAACAGCTTTGAGGACTTGGTTCTGGGTCCTTAATCCCCCACCTCTTTCTTTGTCCTTTCCCTTCCAGAGCTTGCTTTTGCAAACAGGGAGAATGAAAATCCCTCCAGGTGCCAGGGAGAACAAAGGAGAGTACATATGGCCTGAACACATGAAAACGTAGAGAAAAGCTTTCCCTGCCAGGTGCTGCAGCAGGAGCCAGCATTTGCAACACAAACCTAGGGTTGCTCTTATAGTTGAGGCCTTGTTAGGCTCTTCTGCTGTCCTCCAGTGCTGTAAAATCAATAGATGGATGTACTTGGAAGCTGAAATTGAATTCAGCTTTTCTCATTTTCTATTTCCCTCAGTTATTTCTCCCTCTTATAAAATGAATATTGATTTTCCTCTTCCTGCTGAGCCTGCAGTCTTTGCTGGCACGCAATTGTTACTAACAACTTCAATTGAGATAGCTAAGAAAACTCAAGCAAACCAAGTTTTATCAAGATTTGCCTGCTTGTTGAAAGTAAAACATCCCAGAGGCAAATGTTCTTCACTGTGATGGGCCGAGGAGGAGACAGAGCCTGACAGCAGGCTGTAGGCAATGTGGCCACCTCTCATTGCACCTCCAATTAGAATCCCAGCTCTGCTCCTCTTTGCAAAGGAAGCTGGTTCTTGTTCCTTGTACTGAAACCAAACTGAACTCAGAGACCTTGGAAGCTCTGCAAAAGGAACTGCCATCCTCTGCCAAGCCTCAGCATTGTGTTACAATGTCTCATGTTGGATGAAAATGTTGAAAATGTCTTTCAGAAAAGATGCTATTTTCTTGTAATTAGTAAGTTATGCTCTCGTTGTACTCATTTTGCTTATCAAGTTATTTTTCAGGTTCAAGACCTATTTTATTTCACCCTTCCCTCTCATCACCAATATGAGAGTTGTTCTTGGCACCGGGAACCTTCAGAGTACAGTTCTGGCCGCACGCACGAGGCAGGAGCTGGCACTCGGGCACTCCATTGTTTTAGTGAAACTCAGAAGTTATTTCCATAGCATCAGCACCAGCCTCTGTTCTTAAGGCTGTGTGTGTGCCTATCTACACAGGCATTACTGACTGATCAAGGCTTGTTCCACTAAGAAATTGGTGCTTGCTTTGCTTCTGTGTGGAAAGGAATCAACGGAAAACTGCCTTGAAGAGGGACTTTTGCTACAGTCTGTGGGCTTGTTGAGGCAGCATGTGATGAGCGAAGCTCTGTAGGCTCCGTAAGCACAAGCACTCATTGCTCAGTCAGATAAGTGATGTTTCAGATTCTGTTGACTGATTTGTAGATTAAAGGAGCTCTCAGCTCCCCAGATGAGAAGTTTTCCAGGGGTGTGACACACACGCCAATGAGAGAAGGAGACAAAAAGCCTGTGTATGAGATAGACAACTTGGTCAATGAGGCTTTTTCTGTGAGCCTTATTTTTAATCGACATGATGCATCTGTCCACTTGAAATACTCTGATTATGAAACTGGCTCTCTGTGTGCTGCTTGGCTTTTGATTTCTAAACATTTCCGTGCAACGTAGGCTAATAAAAAGGACAGAAAAAGAGGAAGGCATTAATGCAATATATCACGTTAAACATTTTGATTTATCTACAGCTTTTGGTTTGTTCAGTAATCCCAAATCATATGTGCAAAGAGTGATTGACAGGATAGATTGTGCTTGAAGCAGCTTCCCAGTGGTTGGTACATGGGTTTTTATATCTGATGTTCGGAATCTTTAGAACTGAACTAATGCATCAAAATACTGTTTGATTTTCTTTCATATCCATGGTGAAATTTTTCATGTCAATGTCAAATCAAAATGATGAGAAAAAGACTCTAAAAAACAGTTTAAACCATAATAGGATAGGATATTAAGTTAAGAAGCTGAGAAATAAATGCTTTGAAAAACTCAAAACCAAAGGATAGAATCCCTTAAAACTCATTTGTGCCTATAACAACATAAAGGACATTATTAGATTAATTCTTATCAGTCTGTAAGACTGAGAAAGTCGTAAATAAATGGCAAAGAATGGAGACTATGTTAACGATCTTCTGAAAAAGTATACAAATGAGGTTACAGTAGTTTTATATAATACACATTTTAAAAGAATGATTATTTTCATCATCTGAATTTGTAACACAAACTTAGCTTCAGTGAAAATAAGCATCATGATGGTATTATCAAAGTTCACAGTGCAGCTCCTTAGAAAATGAATGATGCATTCAGCTTTTAGGTTGATCTGTGCATCATTTAGGTTCAAGCCAAAAGAGAGAACTTCACTAACAATCCTGACACCTGTGTCTGTTCTCTGTCATCAGAATTCTGCTGTGTCTTGTGCATAGTAATATACAAGTAAGCTGCTGTTTTACAAAATCCACCATTTGTAGCTAGAAAGATAGCAAAAGTACTGTGCCTCCTATCACATAAGCAGGTTGTTTCAGCAGTACTCCATTCCAAAGCACCTGGTGACAAAGCACCTGTAAGCTGTGCGGATGGTGTGCCAGAGATTGCACTTTGCAGAGATTCTACTCCCCTGTAGTCCTATTCCAATTCTTCCCCTGCAACTGACAGAAATGAGGCGCAAAGGACTGTAAAATCGGCCCCCTCTAAGATGTTGGTGGGTTTCTTTAAGACCACTAAGTGGTGCCTAACTGAAAGCATTGTCACTCGAGGCTTGTCTGCAGACCAGCCACTGTGCTGCAGAAGGAAAAGGAGGCATTCATCAATTATATCATGATGAAGAAGAATAGAAACAAAACATTTCACTGTGCACTGGTATGCTCTACTGAGGGCAGAAACAGTGCGGTTTGCATAGATTAAAAGTGTAAGCTGAGAAGTTGAGAATATTTGCACATTTGCTTTTTTTTGACTCTCTTGTGTAAGAGTCTCTGATATCTTTATAATCTGAATCAAACTGCCGGAGATAAAAAGAGATACAAGATGCAAAAAAGGAAACTGAAAGCTCTCACTCACTTTGCTGTCCAGATGTCATGAAAAGAAATCTGGGCTGCTGCCTTGATTGCCTCAGCATAGCCCTGTTCCATTCTGGAGAAATCTGTAGTCACAAAGGACCTGGAGGCACTTGCACATGGACTGAGAGATGCCCTGATCAGTTCTGTACTAATGGATTTGGTGTGGAGGCTGCTCTGTTCATCCCCTTGTTCAAACTTGAGGTTAATGTGTGTATTAAGATGCTGCGGTTCCATTTCTCCATACTAGTGGTGACACCTCAGCTACCAGGATGAACCCCAGGCTCGTGCTGGTATTGACTGCATCACTGGGTCTACATTTTAAAGTAAGTGAAGTAATACTTCAGACCTTTGTATTCTATTTCCAATTAGCTGGAAGAGGCGTAAACCCGGCTACTTAGTAAGCATCACCAGACAGGTGACCTGTTCTTTACTCTGACCTTTTAATTCATCTTCATGGGTGGGTTTGGCTCAAAGCATTCATTATTCCTGGGCTGCCAAATTCAAAGAAAAGATGGGGTTAGAATAGTTAGAATACAAGGCGTTTGTTCCTGTTGTGCTGGAATTCCTTTGCTCTTGCCTGAGGCTCTACTGCAGAGGTCTTGGGAGTTAACGCTTCTATGCCATTTTGCCTGAAACATTTTGTTATTACATTTCTCTCCTGTCAGTGGGAATTAGAGGAACCTGAAATGTTGTCCCTGTCTAAATAAAGAGCTAAAAGTAATTCTGTGTTTTGTGATGCTCAAAGCATCTCTTTCTGTCTGTGTGGTATGAAAAATGTGAGGTAGTGAAGAAAATAAACTGGCACCCAGAACAGAGACCTTTTATTGAACTCTCTGTGAAACCTACTTGAGGAGAAGGATCTAGTTCATAGATGTGACAAAAGAGGCAAAGTAAATGGCCACCATGGGAAAATGGTGTTGGTACAACCAACCAACCAATCTAAAAAGTATACAGGAAGGAAACAAGGCAAAACAGGAGATAGGTGTTTTCTGTTTGTTTTGTTGGTTTGTGTGTGTGGGTGTGTCATAACAGGTTATGTTTATATTAGAGGAAAGTGTTCTGTGTTATATGGCCCACAAGCCCTCTCCCTTTGCTGTCCCCATACAGAGACCTCTTGGACCATGCAGTAGCTCCTTTCTGTCATGTGCTCTGAAGTGCAGTTCTCCTTGGCAACCAAACATACATGTACTATGTTACTGAACACAGAAAGTACAGTAGTAATTATTCATTAAATCATTTGGCACAATATGTTTTAATTTTATTGTTGGAAGAGATATGATGTAACATTTTTCTATTGTACACATATCTACAGCAAACGTTATTTTCTAGGCTTTTATAATTCTGTTAAAAAGTAGTATTAGATGAGGATCTCCACAGCTTTTAAATTTTATGCCAAACTTTTCCTCTCTAAACAAAAGTATTTTCATTCTCATGATGATAAATTCCACTTGTGATCAGTTATATTTGTACAAACACTTTTGAAACACAAAACAAAATGCTGAAGGAATGACATTCCCAGTGTAGAGTCCAAAATAGAATAAATAATACATAATTAAAAAATCTGTCATAATTAAAAAAAAAAAAAAAAAGGAATCACATTTCATTAAAACAGCATTTCACTCAACTTTTCTGTGATTTTAGAGAGTGTCTTTTCTCACCGTAGACCTGGCAGTGATCATATATCGCTTGTTCTGTTACCATCCTTTCAGTTAAAAACTGAAGCATCTTCAGGAGTGTCACGGGGAATTTTAAATGACATAGCAGCAAATGGCATTGGGTTCTGATGCTAGCAAAGAAAGCATGCGTGGTAATTAGAGTGGTTGGAGTGGCGCCTGAACATGATGTGGCAACTGCAGTATTCAAACCAAGGAGGGACCTCAGTGGGGAATTTTTTGGACAACGTAACACAGGATGCTGCTCATGTCTTCTGTTGTAGTCAATTTTGTACGCTTGAAACAAATGTATTACAGTTAACCAAGAGCCGGGGACTGGAATACTCTGAGCTGAGTATGGTTCCTTCCTTTGTCTGGAGCTCACACAATATGCTGTACATTTTATAAGAAAGTGATTTTCTTTCCGTCTCTTGAAAAAAAAATCAACATCAGGTTTCATTAACAATGTCCTTTCCCCTTAATAAATATGTGTATATATGATTGCTTTATGCAATAAATCAAGTGTGGAGCCGACATGGGAAAACTCCCAGATCTTCATTCTTCTGTCCTACAAGGCTCTTGGAAATTGTCATCATTGCTTGTTTTAACTCCAAAATTGCAAATGCCCTGACAAAATATGGATAGAAATTGCTTTGCTAGTGCATACTGAGACCATTCTCATTACCTGAAATGAACTCTCAGCCACCTCTGTGAGGCACGAGGGGTCAGTGGGGATGCAGGCCCTACAGAAGAAGCTTCTTTAGAAAATGTTGTTACCTTTTGCAGATCAGCTGGGAGACCCATCTAAAAGATCTTCATGGCTAAAAGTCACAGTGTAGAAGACTTATTTAGTACAGTGGGAAGCAAGTGAGTAGAAGCAGACATCAGTATTTTCTTTCTAGATAGCCAGTGTTGAAACCTGTCATTTCTTTTCTTTTGCTTTTTCCAACCAGCACTTTTGTCACTGCAGTAATAATGAGCTCATCCCAAAGCTTTATAAGAACAAATGAATGTCACCGATACTTTCAGTTTCACAATAAGCAGGGGAGCTGCCAGTCTACTCTCAAATCTGCTTCAGTTTTCTTCTATATTCCACAAAAGTTTTTCTAAAAGTTGTTCTTAGTTTTCATGAAAACTGAAACAAAAAAGTTGTTAATAATTCAGTCTCATTATCCCATCCAGTTAGACTCTGGAAGAAGGATATAAGGAAGAGTGTGCCAAACTCTGTGGACTGTTGGTATTCCAAAGCAATTAAAGCAGTTAGTGCCTAATTAAGTACTAATTTATGAATTGTGCTGTCTTGCGGGTGATAGAAATCTGGCTCAGGCTGGAAAACAAGATTTTAGCTATTACACATGAAAGCATCTACTGCTTTAATACATATAAAACTTACTTTGTTTCATATGAGTCGAGTGCACTGTACAACTGGATTAAATTCCCCTCCTGTTTGGCTGATGTCCTCTTACAGTTTCAAGTGTTTCCCTAACATTCATTTTCCTGTATCCTCAGATGTCACAGAACAGGCTGGAAGACAAGCTGTCTGGCAGCCAGTTTCACACATTTCCTTCAAATGGTAAACTGAACTGTTTTCTGCAGTAGCAGAGTTGAGAACCTATTGATGCTCACAGTATCTTTATTCCTTTTATACAGAATAATGGAAATTTTAGCTAGAGCTGAAAAGCCAGGAACCAGCAGCAACTCTTTGAGCCAGGCTTTTGAGGGAGGGCCTTCCGAGCTTCCTTGTATACTACAGCAAACACAAACATCTTTCTTTTCCTTGTAGTAAACGCTCATATCTTGAATCGCAAGGAGAAATAATGCTAGATTTTGGGGACTTGATCTTCCCACAGACCTGGCAGTTATCTCTGATGTAGCCCTTGGGAATGTTCAAATTGCCACAGCTGATTTGTGTTCTTGTTACATACGGACAAAAACAAGTCCTTCTCATCTTCACTCTTCACTGCTTCTATGCATTTGCCAGAAAGGACATGGACAATCATTCCGTTCTAAAATATGAGAGGAGAAGGGGAAGAAAGAACAAATGAAAAAATAAGAGATTTCCAGTAAAAACTAGGCAATGTTTCTGATTTTTTAATGTATAATAGGTAATCGGTAATGACATTGTTCAAAAATATGTTAGTATTGCTCTAAACATGATCACTAGGTTTAGCTTTGAGCCCAAGGCATTGTGAGAACACAGCTTCTTTGGAAGCTGACAGGATTCACAAATGCAGAACTCTCTAAATCTCTTTCCCGCCACTGTTTTGTTTTTCTATGGGTAAATATCATCAGCATCAACTAATAGTATTAGAGACCACAAAATTTGAAAAGGACCAGTCTTTCTCTTAGGAATCAAAACAAATTACAGCAGGTATTATACCTGAGGATTGCAGCATCCCTACAGCTACACTGACTTCTGTTTTCTCAGGCTGTCCTCAAGCATGACATTTTTCAATCTTGTGAGGAGTTCTTATTCTGATGGATGAAGTCTAAGTAATACTGAGCTGTTTTTATAAGAGTTTTGTCCTCCTACAACACAGGAGGATTTTTAACATTTCCATGGGGCTCTTATTTGGAAGAACTTGGGATTCACAGTGCCTTCCCCCATCTAAAAGAAGTGGGCAAAGATTTATCCTGCTCTTACGTTCACAACCTACCTTCTGATTGTATTCCTATAAAGCCATTAAGTTAAACAGTTAAAATAAGGGTATGTGAATGTAGGTAGGATTTTGGTAATTTGTGTTTTCAAACCAGATTTATTTTGCACAGGCAGTGTAAACGGATGAGCTGCCTCCTAAATTTCCTGGATGAAAATAGTACAGCAGTGAAAATTGCCCTTCAGCTATATCATCCCTCCCTGCACTCGAATCATGTCAGTTACCCAATGTTACACAGTTACAGCTACACAGTTGCCATGTGCAGTATCCCCTTGCAGCAGTCAGTACCGACCTCCTGGACGTCCCAGTGCTGCTCACTGTTATCTGTTTCCTTTGTGCAGTTTTGGGGGATAACCTTCCCGTGTCTGACATCAAGGCAAAACAGTGGAACAGACCCAAGACGGATTTCCTTCATGCTGTTATATTCAAAGTGCTGGAAAAAAGGAGGGTTTATTTGAACAGTGATGGAATGGCAACCCAGTTCATTTTAAATGTTCACTCCAACATTAATTTTCCCACTCCTGTTAGATGCCACCCAAACATGAATGAAGGAGAATCAACAAGGCAATCTCCCCCAGAATAATTTTGGCATAGCTGAGACTGAGACTATTTTTCTGAGGAAAGACTTTGTGGACTGTGATTACATACAAAGTAAACCCATTCTACAAGAAATCTTTCTACCTTAATAAATTTGAACAGAAGGGTTTTTCTGAAGTGTCTGTACACATTACAGTTCAAAATGTGCCTGCAGCTCACCCTGAGCTCACTGTGAGCAGTGAAACTTCATTGGGACTTGGAGTAAATATCTGCAGTCAGTCTGTACTGGTTTGGCTTCTCTCAGTGCAAGGACTTGCTAGTCTAATGCCACCTGGACAGTCTAAACAGATTTCCCTCCTGTTCTTTAGGCAGTGTTTTGGTCACTAGAATGTGGGAAAACCCACCTCTATTCCAAAATTGATGCACACCTTTTATGCCTAGGCATTCTTTTGTCCAAGTTCCACAAAATAATTACTACAACTACATGAAACAATGCGTGCTGGAACAAAGTGTGGGGATCTGGTCTCAGGCATGGAATACTGCCATTTCTGAAATGATGCTCAGCTGCAGAAAGGTGTGGAACATTGCCTTAGCACACACCTAATTTTGAACACATTATTTTCAAGCACGTCAACCCAAATGTTTACATGAATATCTTCTGAACAGTTCTCTAAGTCCAATGCAGTGCTTCTTTATGTGAAATCTACAGTACCTGGGTGAGGCTGTTACTGCAAGGAGAGAGTTTGATAGAGCCATCTGCCAAAGCCCTTCCAGGTCTGTAATCTGCACAGAAGCCAGCACCAGTATTGTAAAGCTGTAAATAAAGATTTTTACTGAAATAAAGCACAGATATCAAGAAAATATCCTTCAGCTAGCTTTTTTTTATGATTACATTCCCTTATCATATATGATTTTGCATGTAATTCAGGCAGCATTTTTTTTCTTTCGGACTATATCTTACATGTTAATCTTGCAAAGTGATCTGATAACAAAGGAGAGTCTCACCAAAGGTTACCTGATAAGCTTTAAGTTAGAGATACCCACTTCTGGTTTTAACTATTATGATGCTTAAAAGAAGTCTGTCAAAACTACTTTTTTACTAATGGAAAATTGCCCTTCGACCTGCCATGGTATTTGGCAAAAATACAGATATTCCAGAGGGAAAAAACATTTCCTGTGATCCACAGTTAGTTATGCTTTTCTCAAGCAAGCCTTGATAATAAGGAACAGACAAAACAGTAGAAGGATGTAGTAAAATTTGTCTACAGATATCAGTGTGTGATTTAATAAGTAGACCTGTTGCCTTGTCGAGGGGAAATCCTGTCCATAGAGGTTCTTGGAATAAATCCATATTTTAATGATTTTTAAAAGATTAGCATCACATCCTGTACACAATCTGCAAAGGAACTGCTATCTCTATCACCTCTGTCTATGGGGGAAATGCAGGACTGGGGAAATGCTTCTTTTCCTTCATACACGTGGATCGGCATAGAGGAATCCCAGATACTGTTGCAGTTGCCATCTGAATGGAGCAACACAGTTCTTTTCTGTTTTTTTTAATGATACCTAAAGAATCTAAGTTTAGGATCCTCTGATCTGTGACACCAAACTGTAAAGGGTGAGCTCATCTCTTGGCTGGTGTTCAAGGTTCATGTGAGAATTTGGACTGGCTGTTCTCTTTAGTCCTTTTGCTTCTTCTTCCATTCTTCTGCAAGCTTTTCAAAGTGGGATTAGCCTCTCACCGCACAGATATTGAGTACTGAGTACTAACTAGCATATCCAAGTGACACTGGGGTCTTCAACGGAAAAATCCTTTTTCCTGTACATTTTCTCTTACCTTGCCAGATAATCTTGGTGTGTCTTCAGGCTGGGAGAGCTCAGGGTACACATTTGTTATAAACCACTGGAAACTTCTACAGCCCAGTCTCTTCTGTAGCTGAAGACGCTCACTGCAGTCTGGTTTCTCTGCCTTCATGGAGAAAGCACAGGGCAAAAAAGGATATTGCTCTGTTTGCTAGAAATGAAAATGACTGTGTAGCAGTTATTTCTACCACTTCTTCTATCCTGCATGATACGTATCTCTCAAGATTAGGCAAAAGTGGAGCACCAGCTGTACTCTTTCTCCAGCTTTGTGTTTCAGAAGTAGCACATGCTGTGAAAACAGGTATTTCTTTTAAAATTGTTGTTATCCTGCAAGATACATCAGACTTCATCATCTTTTTAATTAGAAATCTCTGGGCCAAGTTTGATACTTTTTGCACTGAAATCAGGGATATTAAGATTGCATTCAGTACAGAATTTACCCCAAAATTTAAAAAAAAAAAGTGTCAGTCCTCTGTTATCAGAGAATTTAAGAGTAGAATTTGGTGTAACATGAAACTAATCAAATAATTGTCTGGCGATTGCTAAATTGAGTTGGTAAATGTGTTTTGTGACTGTAAAGGCATAACAACTTTCCAGATTTATGTATTTTCTTAAGTTGCATACACGCAATCCTAGTAGTAACTTTGTTCTGAAAAAAGACAGCTACTGTCAACCCTTGCTGCAGCTACGGGCATCGTCACTGCGAGGGACTGAGGGTCTGAGTGTCTGAGGGTATTTAGACCTGAAGATGACAAACAGGATTCCAAAAACCTCCTAAGCAGGTAAGTGTCTAAACTGTAGATATGAAAGCACACAAAACACTTTTCTAAATCTCTCGGCACCTGAATACTACAATAAGTCCTGCCACCTTTAAGAGTCTTTCTCCTCTTTCTTGCCAGCAGTAGATTTCCCTTTTCACAATTTTACATTTGGGAAATGTAATTTGAGATTGCAGGACAGCAGTGGGATTCCTATATCAGAAATTAGAATTGTTAACGTAAGAAAAGAATTGCTTGTAATCCTTAGCTCAGCCACTTCTCAGCAGCCTTAAGGAAGTAAAAATGCCTTTGCCCACACGCTTGAAAATCAGCGACAAACAAAAGGCCTTGGAGATGAAGAGAGAAGCATCAGTTTTTAAAGGTGTGTATCAATCATGCCAGCCCATGTAAGCTGCACCAGCAAATCTCAACAGTTGCAATATGCTAAGGAGAACCTCATCATTTAATGTCAGCCCTACATTCAATAAGCAAAACAACAAAGTTCAGCAATTCAGCACCTCACAAACCTGCCACCAAGAGGTTTCCTTGTAACAGGAACTAGAGGAATATAGAAGGAAACAGAGGAATAAAATGCTTCCTCTAAAAAGAGGTGTTTCTCCAGAGGCTGCTTTAGCTGAAGAAAGTGGTGACAGATAATCTCATTTTGTTATGCTAGTTACAGTGTGCATTTGATGCTGAATAAGTAGTGTAGATAATCTAGAGACATTCATTAGCCCTGTGAACCAATCTGAAAGGAAACTACTTGTAAATAAATGAAACACACACAGAAAAAAAAGAGAAAAAGAGACAGTGGCTGAAACCATGGAGAGCTGCAGAGAGCCTTATTCATCTGTATTAATGCTCACACCACAGGCAACCTGTGCAAGATGTAATTTTAACCATAAAATGGGAAGACTTATAAAGCTTCCTAAATGGGGCTCATTTTTTATTTCCAGTGTTGGGCAGTTCTGTTCCAAGGCTCACAGTGGCCCATAGTTGGCTCTGCTCAGCCTTGCCGTGCATCAGTCCCTCAGAGCTCTCTGCAGCCCTGGCAGCAGAGTAGCAGTAATGTCACTGCTTGCTTGTGTCTTAAACAGCATCTTGCTGAACTGACAGACTGATGGTATTGACTATGAAGGAAAGGAATGGAGAAAAAGGCCTTTTATGTTCTGGTACTCTGAACATCGAGATCATACCATTGGTCATTTGAAGGAGCATCTTACTTAGGAGTGCTAAAAGTACCCTGGCTAGAATAAACTCTAAGGCAAAAGGTTATGGTGTTCATAGGTAGTAAATGAAATCATTGGTGGCTGTAGTTTTTAGCTCAGAAAATTGCTTCTGAGTTGGCAAGAATGGCTTTCAGGAAATAATTAAATGATAAACATCATCTTAAAAGACCTGGCTTACCATCCTCCTTTCTGTTACATGGCTTTAAGCCTTGTGGATCAGGTGATGAAACTCTGGACAGTGGAGTTAAAACTACTGCACAGACATAGAGGGAGAAGCCTTTTTAAAAAGTGAAAACAGAATTAAAAATTGAATGTGTGTCTCAGGCTCAAGCATGAGCACAGGAGCCAGACTGGAGGGTTAGACCCACTGGTGGAGCCTTAGGAAGTCACACTAGTTGGCAGGAGAAGAGTCCCACTGGCACGTGGCTTTTTTCCTCTCCCCACTGTGATGCAGCCACTGCTGGATCTGCAGCAAAGACATGAAGGGCTGCAATGCAGAGTGAAACTGAATGGGAAACTTCCTGGGATACACTGCATGGCACTGACCCATGCTGTGCCCAGGTGTTTTCAGGGAATCTTCTCCTGAAAAGCATGGCATTGCTCAATGAACTTGAGACACTTTTTAAAAATTATTATTCCGAACTGCTCATAAGTTTGTCCATTGCCTTGTAGACGAGGATATCAGTACCAGAAAAGGTTTGGGAGTCATTTTCCATTCCGGAAAACTGCTGCAACAGTAACAGCTTTACTGCCATAGCTCCTAATACAGCATCCAGCAGTTTGTGATACAAGGCATATGCAGTCCCCTGATTGACCATGATCTGCAGTGGATCACACAGTGGCTTAAAAGCAAGCATGGCCTTTCTGTCGTTGTTAGGTGGTATGCAGTTGGTATGTGGTTCAAGTGTGGCTGCATGCCAGGCTACCGGGAACCCAAATCTGAGGAGGCTGCACTGCTGGCTCTGTGATGCTTCTAATGATAAAGTAACTTGAAAAAATACTAATGGTGAGATCTAACTTCCTCAGTTACAGACAATTGCTTCTGTCAGCTTGGGAAGAAATCAACTTTTCTCAGTCACTGGAGCACTCAGATGTATTATCTTAGAGTAGGACCACAGTTTGCCACATGCCAGTGAATATTACTTGAATCACATACTAGATGCCTTCAGCAATGAAGAATGAATCCTTCAAAAAGATCTTTCAAGCACACAGTGCAGCTAGGCTACACTTCCGATGACTGTTATCAAATATGCTGTCATTGGCGGAAAACCAAACCACAACTTGCTGGGCAGCCTGAAGAAGGAGTCATTTGGAGACAGAATTATACTCCTAAGATATTTGGCAACTTCAGCAAAAAACTCAGGCTTCTCTTTTCCCTGATCTAAAGGCTCTTCCACCAGCAGGTTTTATAAAAATGAAAAACTCTACCTGGTGCCAAGCCTACTGAATGTTTGACTGTACACAGACACCCACACCCATCCCACTGCCATCACCTACCGCAACACACAGTCCTTCCCTCAGAAACAGACCACTGCAGATGTCTTTACCTTGCTGATTAGGAAAGCCACTGTGTCATTCTTGTAGAAGTTCTCTTTGAAAGAACCCAGCCAAGTCTCTGCTATTCGGATTTTGTTCCTCACAATGGCCTCTTCATAGGAGAAAGCATGGGGAATATGATTTCGATAGACGTGCCCAACACGGGAGCATGGAATGATTTCTACAGAGCCACCACAGAGCCAGGTCTGAAAAACAGGTGAAGGTGCAAAAAGAGATTATCTTCTATGTAGCTAGTAAAGCACAGTGGCTTTACAGACCAGTAATAGTGAGAATGCAAAGCCAGAGTCACTCATTGAGTTAAAGCTTACTCTGGGCAGTGGCTGAATGTTAATTGTCAAAATTTCTAAAGCATCTGAATAGAAGAAGCTCCTTTACTATAGATTCCCCTCAGGACATCCTAGTCTGTGTATTCCTGGAAACAGAAAGAACATGATGTGCTTCTTCATACACTGCTCCCCACAGACATGGAGACACAGAGAAGATACTGTGCAAGACAGACCTTTGATTTGATGCTGTGTAACCATTTATATGCTTTTATGTTTTCCTGTACACAGACAGTGCTGTGTAGTGAAGAGACTTGTGGGCATGCCTTCTTTTGCCTTGGACTTTAAAGACTCTATGCTTTGTGTCTGCAATTTTTTGTTGCTTTTATATCTCTTCATATTCAGCAAAAGCTAATGCACATAATACAACATAAACAATTTGATATTTAAAGTAGATGACAAAGAAATAAAAGCAATTTTTCATTTGGTGCATGCCAAAATAGAAGAGGCAGCTCTCAGAAGGTAGCTGAACCAGTGACTCTGACCTCGGGCAAACAGTGATAGTGAAACTTCCTTCTCCTGACATAATGCTCCTAACTCACAGCATCTGCATATTCTTGTACAGTCCTGACAGATCACAGAGCATGAGGTAGAATTCTGAAAGTATAGTGATATTTGCCATACGTCAAGGAGTTCTACACTTCATTGCTTTTGTAAATCACTTCTTGCCTTTTCATTCAGATCCCTTCAAAACCCAGTAGTTACCAGCACTTGATGTTTTAATTAAGGTTCTTACCCTTATAGACAGCTCTAGATTTTCTGCTCCCCACATGGTCATGTCAGAATCATAAGCTCCAATGTTTTGGAAGTAATGTCGATCCATGGCAACTACTGCACCAGCTACTGCAGGACTCCTGTATAGATAGTAGTTTGGAAGTGAACAACTGTTTTGGACAGAGAATTATAGGAAGGATGAAAACCCCACCATTTCTGTGGAGGAGATAATATCAAAAATTATCAAATATTAGTCCTTATAATCTCATATTAACTGATTATCAAAGAACAACTGGAATTGAATTCTAGGATTTACCTAGGGAAGAGAGCCAAGCTCTGAACTGTTGAATCAGGCTCAGAACAGTAAGAAGTGTAAAGTATAAATACATTCAAAACTACAGATAGACATAATGATTAAGACTTTTAACTCTACATAGTCTATCATTTGCTTTCCCAACAAACCTCAATACCTTGTCTGGTCAAGTTGTAGAGAAGTTGCTTCTAGCTGTGTGTAAGATATTTGTCATGTTAAAAGCAGAACTGCAATCTACTTAGAATGAATGTTAAACCCCAAACAATCTTAATCTAAGCCAAAAAGCCATCCCCTTCAAAAAACATCAACCAAGCAAATGCAAGTAACCATGTCTTTTTTTTACTAGCTGGAAGAGTGCCCAAATTGTTCTGTTGAGGTGAGTGGAGGCATATTGGCTTATGAACTGTTACCTGATAGGGCTGGTGGGAGACTGTCGTACCTTCTCTTCATGCTCTGGCACTGGTTCCCAGTGAAAATCTAGTTTCCAATCAAAAACACCTCGATGCAGGCTCACAGAGTGATAGTACTGAAAAGTCTTCCAGTCTATGACATCTATGATAGGGGAGACGACACTGTTTCTGAAAAAGACAATATAATTTCTTCTTAAAGCTGAATAATGATTTCACTACTGTGTTAGTGAACAGTGGACCTCCTTGATGACCCTGTAAAGCACCAAGCACTCCTCTGGATGTTGAGTGCCCTCATTTTCCCTCCTGATAGAGCTCAGATGCTTCATGCATGGTAATACTGAGCCTGAAGTAATGATTCTGAAGATCAATAATTTATGGGTAACCTATACATTGCACTGTCATTCTAAAACTATTCAGGATTTTGCTATGTTTTCACCATCGGAATTCTTATAAAGCAGTTTCACAGAGGTTTCCACATTTGACGTTATGGATGCAGAATTTATACTGAAAGATGATTTTGGTCTCATACGCTTTACCATCCTTTCATTTTTCTCTAAATGTTCCACACACTTCATGAGTTTGTCACTTCAGGCCAACGAAATATGCAATTTCACTTATTTTGTTCTGCTTGGTTTTTTTTTGAATTAACTTCTCTATCACTGGTTTTGTGAAACATTTTCTTTTTGTGTAGTCTTCTACTACATCCTCAATGTGCTTTCACCGTCTCTGTGAGAAATTGACTTTTAAGAGGCACTGTGCTGTGAGCAGCAATCCTTCAATTGATTTCTACCTCAGGTTAAATTTGGGTTAATTAGAGATGAGGTATTAGACATGTCCCCATAGTAGACTTGTCGTGACTTTTCACAGTGTGCATTATCCTGGAATGTACTGGCAATTTGGAAAAGCCATCAGTATGCCTTGTTTCCAGGTCAGTGATGTATCACATTTGGAAATTTTCAGAGTACAAATACAGTGGTGGTAGGGACTGCAGGAAAAAAATATAGTGAAGAACAACGGTATCCATTTCTGCTCCTTTACACAGAAAGTATAGCTCCTGGTCTTAGTGTAAGGGCTTGCCTAGAAGGTATTCTATAGGAAATGTCATTAACATTTAGAATCATAGAATCATAGAATCATAGAATCGTAGAATGGCCTGTGTTGAAAAGAACCACAATGATCATTGACTTTCAACCCCCTGCTATGTGCAGGGTCACCAACCACCAGACCAGGCTGCCCAGAGCCACATCCAGCCTGGCCTTGAATGCCTCCAGGGATGGGGCATCCACTACTTCCTAGGGCAACCTGTTCCAGTGTGTCACCACCCTCTGTGTGATGAACTTCCTCCTAATATCTAACCTAAGCATCCCCTGTCTCAGTTTAAAACCATTCCCCTCGTCCTACCACTATCCACCCTTGTAAACAGATTTACTAGGGATTAAGATATAAAAAAACCATACTGTAGTCAATGGAGGAAAGTCACCTCAGACATCTTCAGTGCAGTGAGCCATTCTTTTCATTTCTTTCCAATGGCAGAGACCAGAAAGCTGAGGAAGATGGCAGCTCTTGGTGATGGTCATGTAGTCCTAACATATCTGCCCTACCTTTACAATCTCTATTGTAATGTTTTTTTCTGTGACAGGATTGGGGAAGCTCAATATTCTCTTTTATCACAGTTGCCATTTACTGTAGATAATTTTAGAACCCCACAGAGAAAAAGAGATTACTGATCTTCAGTGAATTGTGTGAAAATGTACTATGCAGACAATAGCATCAAAATGATTCAGTTATTTCATTGTTTCCTAATAAGAGCAAACTGCCCTATGATGAGCTAAAGGCAGAAGGCTTTAAAACAGAGAAGTATCATATCTCTCCATTCAGGTATAAAACCAGCCTTTGTAATATATTATAATAGGTGCTCTTGGAAACAGGCACTGTGTTTATAAATAAAACAATTTTATGGTCACCTTTAGGCAACATTTGTAGGCAGTGATTTGCTGCCTTTCTTCTGCAGGACTCAAATAAATGATCCTAAAAATAATAAAGCTGATATCCTCCCTCGATTCTCTTGATGAAAGCATGGTGGTACAGTTTTGTAGCCAGGATAGGAGCAACATCCTCAAACTCAAGCTGACAGGAGTTAGCTTTATAATGGAAAACGGTATTTAACCTTTACTCACTAACAGTACAAGAAGGAAACTGACTTCTTCTAAAAGTTACTGAAAGGTAGTGCTCTGGTGGACTTACACAAGCAGGTGTTTTTTAATTTGACATGCTGGGAAAAATCCAGCTAGCAGATTAAATGGGTGTTATAAGACTAAACTTCAAAAAGTGAAAAATCACTATAACTGTAATTTCTACATCCTGCTGCATTCTCCACTGTAGACATCACTGACAACTGTCAGGTTAGCAGAGCACCTGGAGGTGGATACTTCCCACCTGTTCAGTGCTACCTGCTGAAATGCATGCGATCGCTGCTTGTGTCTCCATTCTCATCTAGAAAGGAACTGATGATTCTGGGTTCTTTTATTTCAAAGTTTCAGGGTCAGAAGGGGAAGACCAGGGGGGCATGCCTGGGTGGAAGCCAGGGGAGGCAGAGTAGGCTGAACCATTCAAAAAACCCTGGTCATGAAGGTCAGACCAGCGTGGATACTCAAAGTTATGCTTAGATATATTCTGGATCAGACAATCCAGACATTTCAAATGAGTTGCCATTTTCATATCCAGCCAATTTAAACCTGTTCTTCTTTGTGGATCTGCCTTAAATTTGTTACCGCTATAAAACTCCAGACTCCAAAGACAATCCTAGCATCAGTGCAGTTGCTCGTATAAATAGCCACTGCAGTACTAGTTGCATTTTACTTTGCTTGTTAGTGAGCATGACAATTCCATGTTATTTAAGAAAAATACCTGCACTGATGTCATGGTTCTGATGGTTAGGAGAACAGGCAATAACCCGAACTAAATACAAATTATGATACAGAAAATTACAATTTTTAAGTCAGCTGAGGAAAAAAAACTCACTGGATGAGCCATATTCTAACCTGGCTAAATTAAAAAATCAAACAGAACAAAATAAATATCTTTTACCACAAAATTACACATATAAATTGATTACTATGTTTTAAAGCTATTACTCCAGTAGTTTTTTCAGCATGCCATGATAAAGCTTTCTCAAGAGAGTGTTTCTAAGTATAATGCTAAATCCTTTCCTAGTATAAACTACTGTAGCTCTGTTGAAACCAATAAAGCCACACCTCCTTAGAACTTAAATATTGAGGGTGTCTTTGTGATCTGAAATAGAGGAATCCAGTAACTTTTGTGAAAACCGGACACTTTCAGTTTAATCTTAATCAAGCAGTGCTTTGCATAACGTTTGGTAACAAGGCTTTGTATAGAAAAGCCTTTTTTATATATTTTCTGCATATTCAGTGATGGTTCTTTGTGTGGATCTAAATGCAAATTTGCAGCAGAAGGTAATTGAAAGCTGGGAGATGTTCTTAGCTATTCTTCTTGTTTTTAACTGAATAACTGGCAGACAGTCAGCAGCTTTTCGGTGCTTTGAAGCGAAAAACATACTGGCAAACTCCAGCTAATTTCACTCTGTGGAATTCAAGGAAAGGAAAAAAACAGGAAACTCAAATATAACCAGCAGCAAGGCAAGAACCATTTGACTGTGGTGGTACTGATTTGCAAATATTTCAAATGCTTGGAACACACAGGATCTACAAAAGGTCACAATTCCATCAAAAGAGCAACCCGAGCAACAACTATTTCCTAGTTTGGGATTTCTCAACAGAATACAATTGTGAATGAAATATCTTCTCATGACCCTTGCAGTCAGCATGGACAGTGTGTTCTTTTCTATTTTTAGAGTAACACGTGAAGAGGAAGAGTTAATTAACATTTTTGTTTTGAAGTTGTAGACATGATATTTTGAAAGTGCTGTTCAGTGATTTTTCTTAATTTTTGCTAGGAAAGGAAAGATTTTAATCTGATTGAATCATACCTAAATCCTCCTTTCTTCTACTTTTGGCAAAACTGATTGCTTTTGGCTTTAGATTCAAGTTTCTTTACCTCATCTTCTTCAAAATAGGTCGCCTGCTGATTCTGATCAGCACTGTGAAAGATTGTAAGGAGATAGCACATCTTCAGATAACACGCCATGTAAGTGAAATTAGTGTTATTGATGAACAGAGGCTATAAAAAGATCAGGCCTAAAGCGAATTGATGGTTGGACTAAATGATCTTAGAGGTCTTTACCAGCCTCGGTGATTCTACGATTCTATGAATTCCCAGGGACCAGGCTGCTGTACGTGATGTTGGTTTTCAAAACCAAGAAAAATAGCATGGAAATGCATGCTGAAATTCATGATGGGGTTGTGTGTCCTCTGGCTGGACAAATTCATACTTCTCTGAGCCGGTGAGATGGTTGAAAACAGATGACTTATGTGTTTGATAGCTTGAAAAGCTGAGAGATGGTCCACAGAAAAAACAGAGGGCTGGATGAAAAAAGATGAAGGAATTGTTCATTGCAAAATATTTTCCATCTCCCTAGTGTAGTGCCATAAAACCAGCTCCACTCAGTAATTTTTTGAGCAATACAACTCTATTTCTGTGTCTACAAACAGAGGCTCTGCTTGAGTCCAAGGCTAATGAAGTATCTCTCCATTGCTGTGTTCATTTCTTATTCTGTTTAACATAATTTCATTAAAAATTAGTGACCTAGAATCAGGAGCCAAGTGAAGACACTTTGAATTTTAGAAACCAGAAAGGCTTTTTTTGATATTGCAGGCTTCAGTTTCCTAGCAGTATTTGAGCTGTGCTGTAGTCAGCGCACCAGCACAGAGGCAAATAGCTATTGCAGTGAGGAGCAGGGGAAAGGTCCTGAGGACAAGCCAACCCTCTGCAAGCCATCGCTCTCTGACAATGTTATGGCACTTATGCTTTTTCTAGAGGTGGAATTCCTTTTTGAGAATGTAATCAAGGCTTATTTTGTTTCTGTGCAATATTGCCAGGAACCACAATTTGAACTTGTATTTTTTTTTTGTGTCACCCTTCTGCAAGAAAGGAGCCATGCGCTTTGGCACGATGGTCACTGTTTTTAGGTTAAAGCAGCAACCTTTTCAAGGCTTCAGGCACAAATGAGCATATGCTCCCCTCTGCCTTTCAGTGCCTCTGGACTAAATACAGTATAGCAGTTGTATCCTGCAGTCTTCTGGAAAAGGCACAACCCAAAAAGATGATTGTAATAATTGCACAGCTGCATTACTATGCACCATGCTACTCACCTGGAATTAGGCTGGAATATAAACAGTTGTCAAGTGAAATGATCTGTGGGGTGTCTCATCTAGTTTTTTAATGCTGTTCAGGTGGCTTTGGTATTCATCCTTGAATAATCACATGTCAAGGAATGCTTTGCAAATCACTGAACCATTCTTGAGGTGGTGCACTAAGCTGATGCACAGCATCCCAGTCAATTTGTTTGGTATGGTTCAAAGAACTGGTCCCAGCCAAGGTGCCCATAAATGCACATGTACTGACTTTGGAAAGGCTTAATACTTTTGGGGTTAATGAATAAAAACACCACGCTGGGAAATGAAATGCGATCACACAGAGCAGTCAAATATTTGAGAAATCTGTCTGTTCCTGTAAAATTGGGTAACATTTCTCATGTTTGCCTTGTCTGTCACAGGTTAATCAGAACTGGGGATATCTCCCTTTCCGTGAATATGTTCAACTCAGAGTGAGTTCTCTGTTCATGTAAAGATCTCTGCATTGCTAAGGTCATAATAACAGTGGTAGATCTGCTCAGGAGTGTAGAAAATTGGGCTTGATCAGTTTTCAAAGTTAAAATCTCTCTCTCAGCTCCTTTAAACTTCTGCAGAGGACTGATCTTTGGAAAGGCTGCATTTTTCCTTGCCAGCTGAAAATTCACTTGCTTTACGTGATTGAGTGTTTTCCCATCCATGCAAAAGCGTGTGGATAGCAGCTTGACTGGTGCAGTCAGAGGAAGAATGAGGGGTATTCCACTAGTTACTCTAAGCTATTTTGTCACTGTGTTTTCCTCATTTGGGCTGTCTTAGGCAGTGGATATTATTGAATTTAACAGCTCCTCAACTGCTCAATGAAACCAATTTGATGAATGATCTCCATGCAAGAATTACAAGCAATTTAGGAAAAATAATAAATTGACTTTCTTAATGTCCTTGAGGAATTCAAGGACTGCAAAAAAGAGCTCTGCTGTAATTAAAGGTTAGGCACAAGCACCAACCTAGACTTATAACACTCTGAAAATACAAATCTGTATCTTCCTGCGTGAGTTTAGCTAGAACTGTCTAAGCTGTGTGGAAAATCTGTTTTTCTGTGGAACAGAAATGGTACAGCTGACATTGGTTTGTAACCCAGCAGCTCAGGAAGCCAAAGTGGTTAAGGTAATCATCCCTTTTTATCTTCAGCTTCATAACTAAGACATCTAAAAAGTAAAAATAATGGATTGCAATCTTTTTAATTCAGACCACTGGGAAGCCTTGTCATAGCACTAACGAGGGCTGGATGAAAAATGCCAGTTTAGTGATATCGGGTATGAAGCGAGGTTATCAGCTGCATGCCCTATGCTGTTTCCCACATACCATGGTAATGCATGTGGTGTGAAAGCAGAACATTAAAGCAATGTGACCTGCACAAAGGAAACAACCAAGCAAGGATAAAAATAAATAAATAAATAAACCAAAATCTTTCCACGGGCATCTCTTCCAGCAGGAATTAGCACATTCAGGGAGCTGAGAAGTCATGAAGATATTGGGGTTGGACACGATGATCTTTAAGGCTCCCTTCCAACGCAAACCATTGTATGATTCTGTGGTTCTGTATTTACCGGTTGCTGGACAGCCTTGCCAGGAGTGGCTCCAGCCAGCCCTTCTGACACTCGCAGTGTGAATCCATGAAGACGAGCACATCTCCAGTTGCCCGTGCAGCTCCTAGCATCCGACCTCGGATGACTCCAAGCCTCTTGTTGCTCCGGATCAGCTTCACGCCATCCAGCTTCGAGATGTATTCACTCAGGGCTGACTTCAGGGGCCCTGTCATAAACAGAACGGTCATTTTAGCTTTGATTCAAGTTCTTACTAGAAAGCAACAGGTAGCGGGAGATGTTGCTTGCTTGCCAGTAAAATGTTCTGGGAGTGTTTGTTTTACATGGCCGTGCAGGCCAAGTTCCAAATATTCCCACAGCAGTGTAATGTCAAAGAGCAGTAGAGACTAATGGAAACTGAGATTCACTAGGTGTGAAGCTGTTCCTATGAGAAACTTAATATCCCCCTCTCCTGTTTTCACCGAAAGGTAGATGTTCTCATCCTCTCATAAAAGACACAGATCAGCATGAGATACAGGTGTTTGGCTTTCCCAAGGACTTGGGATTATTTTAGCAATGTGGAGTTTTCCACTCCTCACTTCATCCAAAGTCCATGTCTGGAAATTATTATGCCAGATCTGGTCCAGTGGGAAGATTTGCATACTGTGATCTTATTTTACAGCAAGAAAGCTCAGAGTAATTGAAAGTGATGGGGAAGAAAAGAAACATATTTCAAAGTTGAAAGGCTAAGTTGAATTCTAGAGATGGAAGATTGAAACCTGGCAGCCAGCTCAAGGCTCTCTCCCTGAGGGTCCCATTTGCCTTTCATTCTCTTCTTACAATACTTGGAGGTGGACAGTCTACTCCTTGCAGCTTTGGAAAGCAGAGATCATACAGAGAAATGGGATTACCTTGCTGGCTCAGGTCATCTACTAGGATGATATCCTTGAGGGAGGTCTTTGGGGCTGTGTTAATAATGCTGTGCACTGTTCTCAGCAGAGTAGACCAGGCTTCATCATGGAAACAGATGATGACACTAGCAGTAGGCAGGCTGGGGTCATATTCTTGCTGTAGGCACCTGTATGGGATCAAATGAGGGAGACACTAGAAACACTGGTACAGCTGGCTACTTTTCTCAGACCAGAGTTGCAAGCTACATCTACATTTTCAAGGATGTAAAGCAGTTTAAGATCTCAGCTCAGGAAGCCAAGGAAATATTAAGGTGTCTAAGACTGGAACACAACGTGAAAATTTGAGAATGACATTACAAAAATTAAAGTTAAAAATATGAATATGAATGTTTTGCTGTATTCTGTTGGTTGGTTGTTTTTCTTTCCCTTCTGTTCTGGCTGCAGCAGAAACAAAGAGCTCAAATACAGAAGACAAAGAAAGAGGAATTGAAAAGACAAGTAAAGCAAAGGAGAAAGGGTGATACAACAGATCAAAGCCAACCTCCGCCCCTTCCATATTTTCTCATGTAACACAAAAAAGAGCAAACTGAAATGCAATAATACCTTTAAGACTAACAAGAAAAAATAACTCATCAATGTAACTGCGGACTGCCTGACCCAGATTACAGAGAATGAAGCCATCCCTGTACAGCAAAGAAACAGACCCTGACTTAGGTAAAGAAAACTAATACATATACATTTAAGAAAGTTAACGCATATTCCCTACAAAGTCTGCACACTTTGCTTTTTCTGATGAAAATGCATCACTGATGAAAGAGGCTCCCAAATAGGTAGATTATCCCCACGACCATTTCTGCTGTTTCCTTTACAACTCCAAGTACTCCTACAATCTACTGCAAGAAGCCTGGCTGTGTGGACATGGTGTGACATTTCTGGAGAGGTTACAGAGTGCCAGAGTGGTCCCATGGCTCCCCAGATTGCCATGGGACCAAGATGTCTCCCATGACATTAAAACAACAGTCATCAAAATGGCAGTGAATGGAATGGTTCTTCGACATCTCAAGCATTTAAATATCAAAAACATTTCTGTTCATCGTCGTAGAAACTCCATATATAAAAACCCTGTAGATCCTTATCAAACTATTTGATAAACGTAAGTAAAGAAACTAAAAATCTATATTCACCACAAAAGCTGTTTTTCAATCTGCCCATCTTAGTTCAAAAGGCGAAGGACACACCGTGCAGGCAGCAGGGTATTCATTTTCCAGAAAAAGCTCTCAAATGCCAGTATATCTGTTTTGCTTACATTCAAAAATGCATTTAAAAGCTTTTTAATTCCCAAGTAGCACTCATATAGTTTTCCAATTTGTTTAGCAGCAAGAACTTCTTGAAGGAATGACAGAATTATGTAAAAATATTTACACCTAACTTGGTATGTCATCTTTGTTCCAAGGCCGCTTAGAGATCCAGCTCTGTATCTGCTGTCAGTTCATGAAAGCCATTTATTTGGTTTTTATCTGCTCCATTGCTCTTTTAGCATTTTCATACTGCCTAGCAAATCACAGATTTTACAGTGGTTATTAAGCAATTAGTTGCTCAGCTAATTCAACTGTAGCAGAAGCTCGTGTCAGGGATATGATTTGAATATTGCTGTTTATTACTGTTTTACTTAATGCTTCAGTTCATGCACTGGACCCTATCGTGTTAGACAATACCTGATACAAACCTGCTTATCATTCATTGGAATCCACAGTCTGAATGATTTAATAGCGAGTAAAAATACATGAATATTATAGTTATGCTTCTGTAATAACAGTGTTTCTCAGAATTGTATGTGGGAGATTTTTGGTATTCTTCACTAGTACAGAGAAAAGGATGCTCTTGTGACTGGATGGTATCTGTATTTTTAGGCAGAATAATCTATTGATAATGAAGGAAAGTGAAGATCTAATGCAGTCCTTTTACTACCAGGCAGCTTCTAACCAGGAATACTCAGTACAGTTATACCCACCTATACTTTCCACCATAACACTGCAAGGCTTCGTTGCTAGTATTGTGATTATAGCGAGAAAATAAAATAAGACTCTTGCGGAATCTTAATTGGAAGAGAATTGAAAATGACTGTACTTGAATATGTGGCTTAGGTGGTGAGTATTTAGTTGCCATGGAGATTGGAAAAGGCTTGCTATGTAGATATCTAGTCTTCAGAAAAATGAGAAAGGGTGCTGGTATGCAGAATTGCCTTCCCTGTAATTTGGAGCAGTTTCAGGCTGTCTATCATAAATCAACATTTCAAAAAGTCAGGGCTGTGACTGATACAAGGCACAGTGATTTAATCCAATTTGTGAAAAATAAGGAATTGTCACATGCAGATAGGAGCTGGAGAGCAGTTCTGAGGGGGCAAAGGCTCTGCTCTGCCAGCAGCAATTCCCACTCACCTGCAGGAAAACATCTCATTGAGATTCAGTTCCCAGCAGCACTCAAGTGGAACTGTGCTTTTGTAATGAAACTTAAATTTCATTTAGATACTTGTGTGTCTGCATTTGCCTGGATAAATACAGCTTGATGCTCAAGCTCAGGAGAGGAAAACTGACATTTTTCACACAGAATATGGTTACTCACAGTAAATTGGGAAAACAAGGCGTCTGATTCATCCATTGAATAATCAATTTATCCATTAGATATCCATTGGATAAATCAGAAGGATCAGTTGGAGTGCTGGAACAGATACAGATTTATGCATCTACTTTCTGAGAAGTAGCATAAAACATTCACCTGGAAAGGCATGCAAAGAGATGTAGGGTATGTTAGAAACTGGGGTCTGGGCAGAGAGGTCTGAAGTATCACATTCCAGGTGAAGAATTTGGTCCAGGGCTATCAAAGTAAAGCACAGGCAGCAGGCTCTGCTTTGCTTCCACTGGAGCTCTGTCATTTCTTATAAAAAGAAACTGCAGTTCTGCAGCTCCAATGCAAAACATAACAGGAACAGCAGCTACATGTATCTTACAGCATTTACCTTACATCTCACACTCTGTTTTAAATGTGAAAAGGAAGTATGTAAATATGAAGTCTGGTCAGCCTTATTTTACAGCAGTTCTTCACAATTGGCAGGCATAGCTTTGAGTCTGAAGAATTTGTCATTTGAAGTGAAATGAGAGAGACTGAGTCCATGCAGGTGACTTACTGAAATTTCTGTAACTGGTTGGTTTCTCTCTAATAAACAACAATAGACATTATTACAAGCAACAGGCTTCAACAGAACAACATAATAGACGTTCTGATTCATTACTGCTTCATTCTCATGTTACATCAGTATAAAATGTGACTGACACAGCTGTGAGCTAGGCCCACAGAGTGAATCATGTTTAAAAAATATCATTTTGGTTGCATGTTGGTCCATAAAGGACAGGGCTGGCTTAGAGATAGACCCCCTCTGCAGGTTTATGATCTGGATTTAGACCTGAACTACTGAGAAGCTTCAGATGTTCAGATCTGTGGTTTCAATCCGGGCTTCTATGAGCTGTGTTGTTGATAGGTCCATACGTTTTCACTAGGCAGACAGGAAAACCCATCCAAGAACTCTGAGACCATGGCCTAAATCCCACGTGAGATTAGTATTAGCTAAAACCACCTCTTGTCAGATGGCCCTTCAGCAGCCAAAACTGTTTTTTGGCTCACATCACCAGCAGTAAAAGAAAGTCATCATTCCTCCTTTGAATACTACATAGTTCAAAGAACTGCCACTGAAGCATGGCAAAAAATAACTTACATGATACTAGTGTATCATTATTCAACGGAAATACCCACATTAACACTGAATCTAGTCAGCAAATGTAGAAAACACACCATCTTTCGTTTTTCTTCCTTTAAGATTGTTCCCTGAAATTGGAGCCACCAGCTGCCTTTATACATGGGAAATGACCACTAGAAAAAAATAAACTTAAAATGTTTTCTGGCATATCTTAAAATGTTTTTGGCATATCTTCTACTGTATCCTATGGGAAAGCTGCAGTAGCTTTTGTTACAGGAGGCAAGAAATGAAGATAGCCACCTGCACCCTATTCCTTCTCTAGTGGGCAGGGGAGCAGAGACGGTTCTCTGTTTTAAGCAAGTGAGATGAACTGTTTCTCATGGGCTGTAGAAATAAATGGCACTCAAGTCTGTAGGCTTCAGCCACAGTACATTGGGCTTCAGATGAAACACATTGGGCTTCAAATGCAACGTGTTGAATTTCAAATGCAACAGATAGGATTTCAGATGTAATACATCTATGGTGTGGCTTCACAGTGCTGTTGTCAAGCGTGGTCATACACACTGGCCTGCAGTTCCCTTTTTCCCAGGAGCTGCCTTTCACAGTCCAAGAATCACAGAATGGCTGAGCTTGGAAACCACCCCTGGGTCCAAGTTCCAACCCCTACTCCAGCAGAGACATCCAGAGCGGGGTGCCCAGGCCCACATCCAGATTGCTTTTGGAGATGTCCAAGGAGGAGACCTACAGCCTCTAGGCAGCCTGTGCCAGTGCTCAGTCAGTTGATGTCCACATGGAGCCTCCTCTGTTCCAGTTTGTGCCCTTTGCCTCATCTTGTCAATGGGCAACACTGAGAAGAGCTCAGTTCTGTTCTCTTTGCACCCCCCCTTCAGGCATTTGTACACACAGAGAAGATCCCCGTGAGCCTTCTCTTCCCCAGTCCCAGGTGTCTTGGCCTCCCCTCATAGTAGAGCTGCTTTCATCACCTTATTGGCCCTGTGTTGGACTCTTTCCAGTATGTCCACAACACTCTTGTACTGAGGGGCGCAGATCTGGAGCGACCCCATCAGCGGCCTCAGCAGCGCTGAGCGCAGGGAAAGGACCGCCTCTCCCTCCGGGACGGCCGGAACGCAGCCGCCCCCGGCACCTGCAGCGGCGGCAGTCCCCGCGGCCGCCAGCAGGGGGCGCTGCAGCCCGCATTCCGCCGGGCGGTGCTGCCACCACCGCTGCGCGGGGGTGCGGGGACCGGAACGACGGGGACACGAATAACGGGCACCCAAATAACGGCGAACATCCGCCGCCAGGAGGGCTGGGTCGCTATGCCTTCCCCTACAGAGAGGGAAACCCGCGGGGATCTCTCCCGGCCCCTGCAGCGCCTGCCTGCGGCTCGGGGTCCGCGGCCGGGCCGGGGGGCGCGGAGCGGTGCGGAGGGGTGCGGCGGTGCCGGCGCTGCAGGAGGGAGGCAGGGATCGCAGCTAGCCCTGAGGAGATGGGGTTGTGTTTCCAGTGGGAAACCAACGTGAACAAAAGCGTTACCCCATACCGAAGGAGGTGGTTTGATTAGGAAGATGAAGGCGATGGGGAAGGACGGAAGTTTTCTCCCGGGGTGAAATAGGCTGCGTTACTTACAACGGGTGTCGTACCTCAGGCAGCTCCCTGCGCAGAGAGATCCGCTCGCTGAGCGCTTCGTTAAAGCCATGGGTTTCCAAGCCGAGCGGCCGCTCCCCCGTTGCAGCCCCGTTGCCGTCCCCCAGAGGCAGGGACAGGAGCTGGGACTCGGGGTCTCCCTCCTTTGCCTCCGGCCGCCTGCTTTGCTGCTTCACCACTCGATAGCCTTTCCTGGCCTTACTGTGGTTCCTTCGACCCGTGGGGGACACGACGGCCGCGATCAACTCATCCTCCCGCAGGGAGATGAACGGTGACAGCCCGTCCATGGGATAGTACTGCTGGCTCTCCTCCTGGGTCTCCAGCATCTCCTGGGTCTCGGCAAAGTCCACCTGGTGCCCTTCCCGAGGGTTGAATTCCACAGGCTGGAAAGTCCCGTCCTTGCTCCGGTTGCTGGCTGGTGGATTCAGCATTGTAACCATCAGCAGCAAAAAGCCCAGCATCAGCAACAGCAACAGAAACTGCAGCTTGCGTGATCCATATCTACATTTCTTCTTCAAGAACATACTGTTGGTGACAAAATGATACAGATTGTCATGTTAAACATCACTTGGATCTCGCTCAGATTCCAGTCCTCGGGTTGCAGCAATGTGCTGGTTTTCACTATCTGCCAAGAGGATTTCTTGTTCCCCTCACATTTCACTGATGCCGTTTCATGCTTTCCTCTCTATTTACAGACAAAATAGAAAATGCATATTAATATTGCACTTACTGTGGTAAAATGCAGCATGGATCCAGTGAGACAGAGTAGGTCCGTTGTTATGGAGTCCCGGCTCAGTCAGCAAAGCAAATGAAAGGAATAGCTTAAGTTTTGAGTTTTTTCTTTTTAAATTCTAGGTAGAAACAAATCGCATTTCTAACAGTTTCCCTCCAGAGTATTTCCTGCTTCTTCAAAGTTTCCCACAGCTGTCTGGTTTCATGTGCCTTATCTCTGAGAGCAGATCTGACAGCTTTCCCCCATCTGAGGCTTCAAGTTCACTGTGATCAACAGATGAGAACTAGTCGATCCCTGCCTTTGCTTCACACATAGCTCCAGCACTCAGTCAGGAAGCACTTTGCCAGACATAATACAAAGCAATGTGTGCGTCTTTCTCCTGGTCCTAATGCCCTCACTGTTCTTATCCTATCAAATCAAAACTTTGCAAAAGCTGTCAGAGGTGAAATATAAGAAGCAAAACGCTGTGTTATAAAACAAGTCAGGGCACACCACGAATCACTCTGCTTCTGAATAACCTTATTAAGTTACGAATGCTCAGAGTGAGAAGCAAGAATTTTATAAACTGAATAAAAGATGAAGTGCACATGATTTATTTAGTGTTAGATTTATTCACATGGTAATGTGCTAGCTGGAGCATATGAGTATATTTCATCTGCAATAAATATTTACAGCTGCTAGGATTTTAACACTGACATAAGGATGCCAAATTATCACCTGGCAGACTGAAGTTTCCTCATCCATAAATTTGGTGTTGCACAGGGAGCAGCACTTCAAGTTTTCAATACTCCAGGAATAACACGTAGAAAGCTTGGGCTGGAACAGCTCCTGACACTGAAAGAGAACAACTTCTGTGATTAAATGGGGAGCTCAGCCTCTGAAGTCTGTTTGCTAATATTGCTGGCAAGTGTGTTAGTGGGCACTGACTGTGGTGTTTTTTGCTGCAAGATGGGTGATTGTCCAATGGGAAAAGGAGGGAGACAGTCCACATGCTTCAACATCACGTGCCTCTTGGTCTGGCAGAGATCAAATATGGAAGTAACTCAGGTGTTACCAACCCTTTTGACACTGGAGATGTGGGAAGTGATTTTTTTTTGCCTATCTTGTAGTATTTGTTTATCAAAAAGCTCCAGCTCTGGGAGGCTTCTGACATCTGGGGAATTTTCACATTCACCTTTTGTTAAAAAAGGAAATCTCTAGATGTTATAGGTAAAAGAAAAACTTGAAGACATGAATGCAGTATATTCGAAGGAAGCCAGGAATTCATTTTCTTTCCTTCTTCTGCATTACCTCCTTACAACCTCCTTGCTTCTGTAAGTTCAATCTATGGTTTCCTGGTAAATGGCTTTCAAAAAACCGAATAGGAGAGGACACCAATTTTTGAGCTAAAATGAGTCATTGCCTTCATAAGGAAGGACTAGAGAAAAAATTGCTGGAGGCATGTAGTGTCTGGCACTTGTGTACTCCCTTAACTGTCTCATAGAGAATGCCTTGAGCAAGTGAGACCAGTCTGCTGTGCCTTGGCACCTTCCCTACCTCAGCTGTTCTTAAAAAAATATAACAGTGCTATGATCAGATCCCGGAAGAAGAATTTAGCCAATATTTTCATACTTCACCATTGTGTGTGTCTTCCCTTTTGAGCTAAATTCACAGAAAAAAATCACATTCCAATCACCTTCTGTCTAGAGAATATTTCTCCTTGTCCTTCTTTTCATAGGAAAACAAATGTGTTGATGAGGGAAGCAGCTCATATTTGCATAAAAGAAAATCTGAGCTCAAAAGCATTCATTTAAATAACAATACGTGTCAGCCATAGAAAGGCAAAGGGAAATGGAAATGAAGAGACCTGTCCGAGGCACTCTGCAAAATGTTCAGTTTCACAGTCTTCTATTATCGGGTATATGGAGAAAAGAAAAGAAAAAACTGTAAGAAGAGTGTGTGTGGGATAAATGGGAGAAAGTATTGGCTTTCTTTTTCTATTCTGATCTACTCGAGTATTTTCATTTCATTTGGTTGTAGTTTTGCCCTGGCCAAAACATTGAAACAAAATTCTGAAACCATTGATCAAGATAATTCTGCCCCACACTGGTAACTGCTGTATAAACTCTGTCCTGGCACGTTCCCTGTTGAACAAATCCACCTGGATCTCTCATGCAACTGTGTTTCAGCTTTAGATGAAAAGAGGCCCATTTAACAAATTTACATAAATCTTTGCTACTTTTGAGACAGAGCTGATAGCTCATTTTATCACTGAACTTTGTGCATATATGATGTGACTTAGGAATATAACCTAACCATTTTAATGAAGAAGAAATGAACAATTACAGAGAGAATGTATGTGAAGATTAGTAAATCAAATGTATATAAGTATAAAATACTGCACGTCACTATTCCAGCAGCCTCTATTCCTTGTCCAGCGTGGACCTCTCTACTGAAGCTTGTCTTGTTTCTGAAATGCACTTGAAGAACAGCATTATGTTCTTATTTGCTTCCTGTCTAATAGTAAAGAAGGCCATGCCAAGAAAGCAGTGTCTCGAAGAGTGGCTATAGCAGTCTCCTCCACTTCCACTCTCCTAGTTAGGTGTGTCCAACCTGAAACCAGTGGGCTGTGTGTGGCCTTTGGCAGCCAGTAATGTGGCCCCATCAGATCATAAACTTTTAGCATTATTATGTGTGTTTTAGCCATATTTTTTTGAGTCGATTGCATGTAGCTCAAACACAGACTGCATAGGTGACAACAGAACACTGGAGCAGAGGGCACAGTGCAGTGCTGACTCTGCCTCTTGTGCCCAACACACAGTTGCACCAAAACCCATGTGTGTTTCACATTACCAATACTTGTGCCACTTGTAATATGTAGTGATTGCCAATAATAATAATATTCCAACCTATGTACACACGTATGTGCCTTTAAAAAAAAAGGAATATGTGTTACTTATATACATAAACTATATTATACATTTTATATTGTATATATAAATGCAAGCCAGGACAACTCCTCTTCACACAGTATGGCCCAGGCAAGATAAAAGGTTGGACACCCATGCTTTAAGTGCTGCTTCTCACAGGTATCCCACAAAACAGATTGTCTACAAAAGATGTTGCTGTCCTCCAGCTGCTGTTCTTGCAGCAGACCCTAGGGAGAGAAGCATGTTAGAAGCTGTGCCAAATAGATGAGCAATTTCTCCAGAAAGGGCCAGCCTCTAGGAAAGGCGTTGACCAGTGCCAATATCATATTGTCTTTCCTGCTGGGCCACCCATGTCAGTGGTAAAATACAGGATTCTGAGCAGTCTTGCTCAGGCAGACCCTGTTGTACAAGGTGTATAAACCTTCAGTAAACAGAAAGTTGAGTCACAATGATTCCTCCATTCTTTAATCACAGAATCACAGAATATCCTGTTAAAAGAGACACAAAAGGATCACGGAGCCCAACTCCTGGCTCTACCTGAATTTCAGGACTACCTGAAATTCAAACCACGTTTCTGAGAGCCTTGTCTAAATGCTTGTTGAGCTCTGGCAGCTTGGTGCTGTGACCACTGCCCTGGGGAGCCTGTTCCAGTGCCTGATCACCCCCTGGTAAAGAATCTTCTTCTAGTACCTAACCTGACCATCCGATGTGTCTCCATGAATACTCTCCTCAGTTTGCTCTTCTCTGGGCTGAACAGCCCGAGTAGCTCAGCCACTCCTTAAATGTCTTTCGCTCTAGACCCTTCACTGTCCTTGTTGCTCTCCTTTGGACTATCTCTAATAGCTTCACGTCCTTATATTGCAACACCCAGATCTACAGACACATAGTGCTCATGGTAAGGCCACATCAGTGCAGCATGGAGCGAGACAATCCCTTCCCTCAACTGGCTGGCAGTGCTGGGCCTAATGCAAGCCAGTGTACAGTTGGCCCTTTTGGCTTATTTGTGCCTCTGGTCGATATGGAAGAAAAAATATGCCATCCTTCACTGTTGCAAATTTTGCACACTAATTGCCAAGAGCTAGAACATGGAATCAAATGTTGGCCTTGTTATTCATTTCAAAAGTATTAGGAGTATCCTGAGTAATAAAACTCTCAGTCACTGTGGTGTAGCTGTTTGTACTTATCTTTTTCTCTTCACCTCACTCTTGGCTTGTATTTTGGTCCAAATTATTTCCCAGCACGCACTTCTTATATGTTACATGACATGTTATGTTAACCATACTTGAAGAAACAATGCATAATTTCAATATGCAGAGCCTGCATTTGACTGCCAGGAAAATAGCAAATAAAGAACAAAATCAAAGCTGGATGTAACAAAGAGCAAGTGGACAAGTTACTTACTCTTCAATATGCATCTTGGATTGATTTACACTCCAACGCAACACTATGCCAAAAGCAGATGTGCCACCTTCCATTTAAAGACTCAGCACATAACAACACCCATAGTTTCATAGCTGAATGTGTTATATGCCACAGGTCCTCATACATTTGTACAATGGCTTGATTTGCACAGATGTGAAGAAAGTCAGTGCATAAAGTGTGACTGATTACTTGGTACACAGGATCTGTGGGGGTTTTAAAATAAAATTACTTTCCCCGTTCTTCCCAGATTAAAATAATAAATATATATTTCTAGACTACAAAAAGATATGATTTATTTGCAGGTGTTGCAGGTGCTTTGAGTCCTGGACATTGTAACAAATACTGTTAACAGTTCAATAACATTTTCCTATAGCAAGCTAATAATAAACTTGAGCACGTTACAGTGGAACTTAGTATTGGAGGCTATCAGAGCTTGATAAAATCTGTTGAGCAGAGGCCCAAGAATTTGGCACTAGTACTATGATTTATAGGATGTTTGTGAAACTGTCAGTGAAGGAAAAGCAGCTGAAATTCCACTTTTACAAGATTTCTGGTCATAAATCTTTTGACCAATGTAAAAGGGAGCATGGAAGCCATTGACCTCTGCAGTGCTTTGCAAAAGCAGTTCTGGGGACATGAAGGCCAGCAGCCCTTGGTAGAAGGTTGAGGGAACATATCACAGGAGTGACAGCTTCTGGATTTACTACACCATGGCCTCTGATTATCTCAGAAATGGTAGCTTTCAGGCCTTTAAGGGTCAGCTGTATTGTTCCCTGCCTGAAGTCTCCACCCTAACGCAGAGACGACTAACTTTCTTTGAGCAGTGAGACTTTTGATCAATATTTATCACCAAGAAATGATATATTCCAAGTGCTGTCAGCAATGCCATCGCAACCTCCTGCCTGTTGTACTCAACTGCTATTTATATCCTTAAGCTAGAGAGGGTTCCACAAACTTTCAGCCTCCAATAACCTAGAGGTCAGCTGAGAGTATCACAGTTACAAAAACCCAGAGGAAAAACAAACAGTATTCAATAATAGCAAATGCTTTCATTGTTTCTGGGTGA